TTAGCTAAACCCCACTGTAAGATTTTCAGCCTGAAGTCATTTTCTAACCCGTTTGTTTCTTTTTTTAAAAAAGGATCATTTGGAAAGGTAACCAACTGCAATATTATTCCAGTGAGCAGAACTCATTATCCCTAGTTCAAACTACAGTTATGTACTATAATTTTATTATCTAGTCCCAACTTAGTATAAGTGCATCCTTCATTTTACAAAAAGGCTTGTCTCCATTTTTTAATTAGAGAAACAGAAAAATTGACTTAAGTTGAAAAATTCAGATTCATGTTTTAGGCACGCCAAAATTCAGGGTGCTAACATGTGATGTCCCTCACCAGCAGCCCCTGCGACATGCACCTCCACATAGAGGCTCACTGGGCTGCGTGCCTACCCACTGCCTTAATTCGGTCCATTATTTTTAAGAGAACAGTTTCAGAGGTGCTGATTTAAAATGTTATCACAAGTCATCGGTGGGTTTTCTTCAAACCCCTGTAGCTGTAGGCCCATGAGACTTTCAGCTTTCATTTAAGTGTACATTTCAAGTCCTTATGATTGCCGAGAAAACTGGAAAACGCAATCCACTTCCTCTCAAAGGACCCACCAATCACATTAAAAACCCAATTTTTGTAAGAGCCCCATGATTTCAGGAGGGTCAGTGGTAATGACGCAGCAGTGGGATGCAGCAATTGTCTCTTTTTTTTTTTGAACAAACATGGAGGATGGCAATGCTTGGAACACGGAGTGCAAGAGTCTTTTAATCCTAGCTTTTGGTTTGGGCCCATCTTCTCATCCAGCTGCACATCACTGACAACAGTTGCTAGATTTCCTGTTAATGACACTTCAGATTATAGGTACCAGGTTAGTAGCCAAAAACACGTTCTTCCCCAAGTGGATCTAGAAATTAAATTTTTATGTTTTACAGAAATTGTGCTAGCCATCTCATGAAATGAGGTTTTCTTGTATTCGGATCACATTTTGGACTGAGTCCTAATAATCTCACTTCCTCAGGCCCTCCCTTGTTCTTATGCTCTCACTGCAAAGGGCCTGTGATTCAACATGTAAGAAATTTCTATAACACAAACGTGGTAAAAGCAATTAAAATAAAAATTTGAAAAAGCCAAAAAACAATTTCCAAATCTGCATAACACACACAAGTATGTTGCCTTCCACATCTTTAGAAACAGAATTCACACTGTAGAGTGAAGCCCCCTTTTGGGTCAGACCAGATGCCATTGATAACCATTGCATAAGAACTAGGGACCAGCTAAACAAGGTCAGATAAACCATTTGGAGGTTTTCAGATTCCCTCTTTCCTCTCTGGAGTTTGAAAACCAACAAGGAGATGAATGTTAAGATGACAGTCTTTTCACTTAACTTACCCCATAACTAGAAGAGTTAAAAGGAGATGAATATTTGGGACAATCACGTTATCTGCTTTTCTTCTCTACCACTGGAATTCACTACCTATCCCTTGTTGCTTCCTAATTCACACAGCTGGTGTGATTAAAAGTCAGGTGAACTGGAAACAAAATCCTTGCATGCTCCAGCTATATTTAGGCCATTGGGAAGACTGGATAGTGACAAACCATAAAATATGCAAACACTAATGTGGACATATGCAAGAAAGTGTTCCCTGAAAACCCACCTTTTTGTTGGCAACTCTGCTAAAAAAGCAAAACAAAACTCAGTTTCAGTGTGTATTCATTATGGAGCCAATTCAGTATAATTCACTAACAGTTTTTAAAGCCAAAGGAAATTTGTAGTGCTGCCAAACTTGGCCCTTTTCATTCCTAGCTGGGCATTGAAAATGGCTTGCAAGCTCCTATTTCTAGTTGCACAACAAGTGTGTGCTATTGAAATGCCACTCAAGTACTGTAGAGTGCTCGGAACACCCACACACTATAAAGAGATAAGCACCATGAGATTTTAAATCAACAAGCTGATCTCTTCTCTCATACCACTGAGCCAAGAGTAACTCCCTTAAAAGTCAAAGAGAAGAATCAGACCATGTAGTTGCCCAGGCATGTTACACCAGCTGGAAAGAAAGGCTATTTAGAACTCATTTCTGCTTACCAAACACTTAAGAGTGAAGGATTTTCAGCATTTTAGCTGGTGGTGTGGAAGCCTTTCCTAGCATTTGTCCTTCCCTAGATACACAATGGGCAAAAACAAAATAGCAGACATTATCCTTGATTTTAGACATAAGTCCTAGGGGCATGATTTATCTGTTCCAAACAATTCCTCAAAGGATAGTATTATTTCCAGCAATATCTGCTGTGTGCAATTCAAGAGAGCACAAAGGATGCAATTAATGATGAAGAGAGCAATTACCCCTTTCTGGTTAATTACCATTTTGCAGCATTGTATATAATTTTAGGCAAATTTTAATAAAGTGGCAATTTATTGTTTGTGAAGAACAAAGAGCAGCAGTGTAATTATCAATATATTTGTGATTTGGTGTAGTTTTAGTTGTACTATACTTCATTTTCCCAAGATTAGAAAGTTTGCCATAATTAAAAGTATTTATGGTACCGAGTCTCAGAATTCAAACAAATTCTAAATATTACCCTCTCAGAGTGTAGTTGTTGCTACCCCTGAGCCAGCTGCAGTGTTCAGAGAGCAAAGTTCTGTGGTGTTTAGACCTAGGGAGTTGTTTTAGGCCCATCTCCATTATACCCATAAGGAGAAACAGGTACCTGAAGTTAGGAGGTAATAGGGGAATAATATTCATGTAAGCCGATATTGTTCCGGTAAACAAAAAACCAAAAAAACACACACAAATTTCCATGCTAGTAATGAGTCTCTCAAACTGGAGTGTCTCTCCATGTCAATACTTCACTGAATTATTACAGTGGAGATTATGAAAAGGTCTTTGTGTGCACATGGCAGTATATTTTCTAGAAGAAAGCATATGAAAGTCCCAGAATTATCTTATGTCATGTGTTCTCTAATGACTAGAATCTAGAAAGGACAATTTTAATTTTGTACCAAACTCAGAATTTGATTTCAATCTGCAGACACACTTGACATTTAATATGCAAACATCTGAGGCTAGGTTGTAAGTTAAGAAAGGCTCCAATAGACTCCTTTCTTTAAAATGTGATGCGGTTCAAGATAGTCTAATGAGTCAGTCTGCAGAATAGTATCCTGTACAAGGAGCACATGCCAAGAATACACTCCACATTAGAACACTGCAGTTAGTCTTAAGAAACCTGCAAAAGTCTGAGAAATATTTCTTTCTTTTGCTTCTTTATAATTCAACACCACCTGGAAAGGTTGTACCCAATATTTATTGTATCAACATAGAAAGAAAAGGGTAAAATACTAGCTCCATTAAAGTCAATGGCAAAACTCCCAATGACTTCAGTGGGTCCAGGATTTCACTTGAAGTCTCAACATCCATATTTCTGCTGAGGGCAAGTCTACAATACAGACCTAAAATGGTACAACTACATCCCACAAGAGTGGGAAAAATCCACACCCTTGAGTGACGTAGTCACACCAACCTTAACCCCTTGTGTAGATAGTGCTAATCAATGTGAGAGCTTCTCACACTGACATAGGGAAGCTGTATTAACTATGCTGACTGAAGAGGCTCTCCCACTAGCATAGTAACATCTTCAGTAAAGCACTACAGCACTGAAGCAGCTACAGCAGTGCCACTATCCATAAATATGATCCCCAAGAGACTTTAGGAAGACAGAGCTGGATCAACACCTCAAGAAGGACATGACTTAAAATTATTTTCTCTTCTTTCAGGAGCTACATAGCTTCCTGAGCATGCTGGGATAAAGAGGTCCTCTTGGTGATACATTCAATACCTCCACTCCCCAGCTGATGACTGAAGTTTTCCACTCCAGTTCTCTCCAGGTCATTTAAAGCACACCAGGGAAAGTTTCATATTCCTAATATTCTAGGGGAAGTGATAGCAGGGAAATCTTTTCAGAAAGCAGACTCAGGTTCTATTCATTATAGAGCAGCAAAGAAACCAACAAAAGAAAATACCTCCTTTTCAGATGACTTAAAAGAAAGAATTCTTCAGGTAACAATTTCTTCATAGAAACATTTCCCACCCCCAACAGCTTAAGCTAGACTGACATATACTGACCAATTCATTCCTTCTGTCTATATATCCATATAACCATCATTGGATATATTCACTAGTCTCTTTGTGAAGTGTAGATGTAACAAGAGTCACAAGTTGTTCCATTTATTTGAGTACTGGTAAATAAAATCATTGATCAACATTACAAAATTAAATACATTTTAAAAAGCTTGCCAGAATACATAAAATTCACAAACATGTATTTCTTATTTTTAAAAATAAAACATTCAGAGCACCTTTGATATAAAATGCCTGACTAAAATCATCTATTGACATTTGGTAGCTTATGGAACACATGGAAAATATCTTTTAATGGAGAAATGTCAGGGATCCACTGAAAGTATTCCATTCTTCCTTTCAGAAGAAAGGAGGACCCATAGCTAACAGATCCCCCCCAAGTTGTGGGGACAGATCTAAACACTTGCTATACCACTCTTTACTGAGAGGGAGATCTGCATTAAAACTTACAATGCAAAACAGTGCTTTTAGCTTGTTTTGGTAGCACTTCTTTCCCCCACAATGTGAAATGTTTTTAGATGGGGATTGCCATTTCTCTAGGCATCATGTCAGACTCTTATACAGTAGATTAATACAACTCTAAGGATATGTCTACACTACCACCCTAGTTCGAACTAGGGTGGTTAATGTAGTCATACGAACTATGTTGCCGGGCGCCGCCATTTTTAAATGTCCGCTAGTGCGGACTCCATGCCCGCGGCTACACGCGGCACAAACTAGATAGTTTGGATTACGCTTCCTATTCCGAACTATCTAGTTAGTGCCGCGTGTAGCCGCGGGCATGGAGTCCGCACTAGCGGACATTTAAAAATGGCGGCGCCCGGCAACATACAAATGAAGCCCAGGAAATTCAAATCCTGGGCTTCATTTGCAAGTTCGTATGACTACTTTAACCACCCTAGTTCGAACTAGGGTGGTAGTGTAGACATACCCTAACACACCATGAGGTGAAGAGGAAATGATCTGGCAAAGCATCAAAGTCAATAAAACAATTAGAAGTCTACAAATTAAGCCCTTAAGAAAATCCCCAGTTTTCATATGTTGCTTTTTCAATGAAGTATGCTGACATCTTTCACCTCAGTGCTTTAAGATGGATTTAGAAAATGGCAACACTCATTTTGGTAACCTAAATTGTTGCCCTCTGGTAACATGTTTGCAGCAGTCACCATTTAAGTAGTTTACTGTAACAAGTTCCCTTCCGGCCACATGAACAGCATTCACACCCCCACTTTACAACTTATATACATACAAGCACAAGAATCTTGACACCCATGAGTTAAATGTACAACCAACTTAAAATGTCATCCTACTAATTGCTAGGGGAAAATTAAAAGGCATCTCTTCTAGCTTTGCAACTTTACATAGTCTTCTGATTCACCATGTGGGACTGCTGCCCTTCACTGCTATGGCATGGTCACTAATGCTTGGATTCTTCATCCGGGTCAATGATCCTCGAGCAGGGTAGTTGAGCAGCATCCAAAAATGCTGATATCTTTGATAAAAAAATTGACACTTAAAAAACCCCTTAAAATCACATGACATAGGACTCCCTTGAGTAAATGTCAAAACTGAATCAAACCAAAAAAAAAAAAAAAAAAAAGTTGCTCGGAAAGACAACTATTTTAATAAAAGGTCTTGTCAAAATCCCATTTCCCTTGCAAGGTGTCATGGAGAGTGCTACTATATACTCTTCTTTTGAGGGGGGCTTAGCTTCCTCATCCCTCTTATCCGAGTTAGCAGTTCTCTGATAAACTCCTAGGAAAAAAAAGGATTAGAAATAATCAATATTTTGCATAATGAAGACATCATAGTTTGGGTTTGTATTTTTTTTTTTTTTTCAAAGGACGGACACTACAGCAAACTATACAGGCTTACCCTGGAGATTGTTTACTGATAAAGGTGGAATTTATATGAAGTCTTGGAATATTTAAGGCTACGTTACACACCCTCATCATGAAGTGGAAAGGAAATAAACTCATTCCCTCCATGTGCCTTATAATTCAGTTGCTGTCCATCTACCACCCTCTTACACAAGTCAATTGGCAAGTTACCCACTGGTCAGCTTTCTTCAAAAACTGAAAGAGGCATCTCAGATCAAATGTTATATTTCAATCACACGTTTTACCTTTGATCACATACATAATTATGTTTTAAAAAGAGAGACTAAGTAAAAAGATGTTTTCACCTGTAGTTTCCGCAAACACAAGAGGCAATTTTTGGTAACCTGCCCTCAACGTTTTTTTTTTAATCTTCAGGCAAAATCAAACTTGGAAATTTCAGTCCAAGGAGGACAGTTTCAGAAAACTATGATCTTGAAAAATATGAAGTTATTTTGAAAACCTTTACTACAGTGGCTGCTACAGAGAAACTACTGACACTCCATATCGACAGTGGAAAAGCTTGCCAAAAATGTTCACTATTGCTATTAATGTTAGCCTCACTTTTGCCAAACAAGCAATCATACTATAGTTCCCTCTAGTCAGCACACAATATTCTACTGCAGTAGAAGGAAGTGAAGCTTTTTCTATGCCCGTTGAGAGGAGACTTGATTGGAGGAAGCAAACTTTAAAACCTGGAATCGATTTCTGCCTCAGCTGTCCCAAATGAAAAAAAATCATGCATCAATGTCTCAAGCACTGGATTAGGATAGTTTTAGCAGGAGAGGAAAATTTTCCCCCCTTTCTGTCTTATTTGATGAGACTCCCATTCCCTTTCTAAATGCTGGACCTTCCCTATCTGCTCCTATAAAAGGCTGCAGGTACTTCACCTCCTTTTCCCCCCTGAAGCAGCAGCTGCTCAACATCCAGCTCAGAACTTGGTTGACTAATGTCAGTGGGACACAAACAAGCTGATTAGCAAGGTGTGTACGTACAGTGAATGTATAGGGAACTGCTCAGCTACACTACTCATATTGGCATGCTCATATTTTCCTATTTGAAATGTGGTCATGGAATTCCACTGAGATCCTCTCTCATCCCTCTTCCTAAAGGAGCTGTTCAATAGTTTCCTCCTTTTGATATAAAATTCAACTATGAGCAGCTTACCTTCAGATGAAACCTTTGTATAGAATGAAAGCAAATGGACCCATGGGAGATTATAAGCAAGCAGCAGGGGGGAAAAAAGCACTCTTTAGAATTCGGAGAGGGCTTCCCCCTCCTCCTTTCAAGTAGTACCACAACCCTTCTACACCTCACACAAAGCAAGAGGCTTTCGTTTTACACTGGAAATTTTAGCTAGTTGCCGATTAATACTCTCCATAGAACATCTAAAGAATCTGATCTGGCTGGCAGTTGAAGAAATCCCCACTGAGATCTGAGCTAAGTGAAGGATGTTGATCAGGAAAGGAGACAAACCACACAAATTACCATTGATTTAAAGAAATAAATGAAGTTTTTGAGTAGAAATTATTTTCCTCTTGGGAGCAGTTTTAATTGTGAGAAGGAATTCTAAAATATAAACTTATAACTATTAAAAATAGCTACAATGCATTTGTAGGTTGCAGACCCTTCACACCATGCAGTAGTTAATACAAAATACAGGCATGCAGTGAAGCAAGCTCATAATCACAATGCTTCTGGGCCATTATTCTGCACCTGATGTCTGACAAACTCAGATGCTAATACACAGCTGTGCCTTTCTGCTGACATATTTACTGCTCTTTGCTTTGAAAGAATGCAAAGAGAAAGGAAGGAGGGTCTCACAAGGTGACAGATTTGTTTTCCTTGGCTGATTGGGAGATGGGAAGATGCTTCATAATGGTTATTTATGCATTCATTTTATAATTCACAAATTAGCTAACAATATTTCTGACACCGCAACAGGCCTTTGCTTTCTTTAAATGCTACACATATAGAATTTAAAATGATTGTTTGGACCTTTTATTCTTGACCGGATGCATAAGGCAGCAGTTATTAAGTAAGTGTGTGTGGGGCGGGGGGTGCGTTGTTTCCCCGCCCATACACAACTTCATAAACAAATTTATTACTATTTATTAATACATTAAATATTCTCTCTCTCTTCCCTGTTCTCGAAATGCTTGATTATTGATAATGGAGATCTGGTAGGTTTGACAGTCACCATGCAAATGCAAATTGATTGTTTTACAGAACCTGAATTTAAAAAAAACCAAAACCACATATCCTACTCAGATTTTGTTAACATCTATTTAATTCAGATGCCTGAGAAATGGTTAGGAACAGTAGTTCTGTAAAGGATTCAAAGGGCTAAGACAGTTAGCTGCTTGATATCTCCAAAGAGTCCCTGAAGCAAAATTTGTCACTCCTCTTATTTTTAAAGAAAAAACAGCCACACCGAGTAAGGCCCTTATTGTCAAAGCAGGAGAAAAAAAAAAAAAGCACAAACCCAGTTTAATTCTTTTGCAAGTCACCTGGAAACACAATGTGTTACAACTGTGGAGATCCCTGTTAATATTAAATATACCACTGGTGATTCTAAAAGACATGCATTTCCAATTTAAAAAATTGCATATGAGACACAAGATAACTAAATGTATAGTTCATTTGAATTAATATATATATTGTCCTTCAGGCATTCTCCCCCGGCAACAATTTTCCTAGAATCAAAAGGCAGGCAGAGCAGATAAAACAGAATTAAAAAACCCCATGAAATGCTAATTCAGCAAGAAGGAAAATGATTTCACCTTTTCCTTTTGGAAGCATGATTCATTGCTTTAATGAGATTAACCGACCACAATGAATTCCAGATTTTCTGTTTAAGTTATTGCAATTAATTCAAGAGTAACTGGGTACCATCCCTACAGATGTTTCTCCTCACATACAAGATACCTGCGATACAAGTTCATCTCATCTTAGAAGTACCTGGAATCAGAGGTAACTGGTGAAGGGTGACACAGAAAGCCACTGGCCATATGGCCTCCTGCCCCCCAGCTCAGGAAAGGGCCCCCTTCTATTCCACCCTTCCTCTGCCTCCACTCTGCCTTTTTCCCCACAACAAATGTAGTCTGGAACACTAGTGGGGCTGGAGGTCTGGCACAGGCAGCAGGGTCTGACCCCCTGTACCCACTGGCAATGGAAGTGGAGCAACGCAGCTCCAGCTTGCTCTGATCCCCCGGCTAGGTCACTCCTCTTCCCGCTAGAGAGTGTGGAGGTGAGCCAGCTGCTACCCTCCCCCTGAGCGACATAAATGGGAGGAGGCAGGCCTCTGCTGTGGACACCAAGTCTCTTCCCCCCCAACTACCCCACTAGACCCCTTGGACATCTAGGGACTCTGGCCCCCATCAGCTGCTGGCCAGCCTTTGCCCCTCCCACCTATGGTGTTTGAGGCATGTGTCCCCTCATGCTTCCCCCATAAGTCACCCCTGCTTGGAATCCTAAGACAGAAGCATTTTCAGTCTGGTTTACTAGACAAGCCAAAAGGGCAATATTCAGTTCACAAAGTAACCTTTCCTTCTACAGGCTCAGGGTATGTCTAGACTACGTTTTTCTTTCGAAAGGAGATATGCAAATTAGCCCCAAATTTGCATATCTTCTGATCGCTTTTTCGGACAGTGAAAGCAGTTTACACACGGTACTTTCGGGAAAAAACCCTTTTTTCGAAAGAACCTTCTTCCTCAAAAATTGAGGTTTACAAGTTCTTTCAAAAAAAGGAATTTTTCCTGAAAGAACTGCATCTAAACTGCTTTCACTGTCAAAAAAACCGCTTTCAAAAAAGCATTTGGAAGATATGCAGATTCCATGCTAATTTGCATATCTCCTTTCAAAAGAAAAGGATAGTCTAAACATACTCTCAGCTCCTCCACAACCAAGTCAAACTCCTGAGGGATCAACACTGGCCATTGGCTAAGGACAGCTCTTCAGAGGGACACTGATCAGCTGGAGCAATACAGGTACACTGAGCTATAGCCTTGTTGGGCCTAGGACATTAGAGAAATTGGTCCAATAAAAGATATTACCTTCCCCATCTTGTGTCAATAAAAGAAGACTGTCACACAGATGAGTGGAAGAGAAATACAAGGCCTTAGTTGCCAGCAGTGTACTAAAGAAAATGCAGGTTGTGTTCTCTCTTGGTGACAGTATTTGACTGGCTGAAAAATTCCAATAATTCTCCAAGCTTACAGTGAAAAGATTTTTTTTTTAATGTTTATATTCGGTGCTTTTGGTTTTCCCTGCTTTTCTTCTTTTTCTTAAACAGTGAAAAATGAAGGGTAAAAGGAAGAGAAAATCAAGTTTTCTAATATTTGGTCAAAGGAACTCTATCATTGTGCTAGTCACTGTGAAAGCCCCACCAGTGCAAGCACTAATGCCAACTAACCACAGACTCTTCAGACTTTCTCTGAGCCCACCTTTTGACTGGTATTCTCACTGTCGCTACTAAAGAAAGATTCCAAAAAGTTCGAGTCCTCAATTTCTTCTTCTAGATACCTTGATAAAAACCGCATTCTTTTCAGCTCCACAACGGTTCTTTAATCATCTTCAATGGATTAGAACTTCACTTGTTTGCCAGGGTCATCCTTTTTGCAGGTAGCAATACCCAAAGACTTTTTAATGGTACTGATCTCTGTAACGCAAGTGTTACAGACATTATCACCTCAAACACCCTTCAGTATAAACACCCCCTCATTTCACGAACAGGGAACAGAAGAAGAGATATTGACATGCCCCAAGTCTGTCTTGATCAGGGTTTCCCCACTGTCTGGACCCAAATATGGGTTGCCAGGCGTCTTCCCAGGTGGCTCTTAAGGAGCCATTCACACATTTTTTGAATTGCCCTGGGTCACCAAGTCTTCCTGAATTGGCAAAATGGGTCTCCATCTGGAAAAGGTTGGGAATCCCTGGTCTTGATCTTTGTACTCCAAGGACAGTACATAAAGGTCATTCTTCTTCTACAGGCTACAGCAATGGTTTGCAAACTACAAGTCACAACCCAGTACTGGGCTGTGGAATGTCAGTCACTGGGTCTCATTGCTGCAGGGTGATCAGGTGACCAGTGGGGATGCTGCCCTAGCACCACTGCGCTGAGCCCCAGAAGCTCTAGATGGCGAGGTGGAGGGTAAGGAGAGAGCGCACAGGGCTCTGTGTACAGCCCGTCCCCCAAACACTAACTCAGCACTCCCATTGGCTGGCACACTGCTTCTGACTGCTCAAGGTAAGCCTCTCATACTCCAGCCCTGGCCTCCTCTCCAAAGCCAGAGCTTCCTCCTAAACCCCAAAGCTCTCATCCTCAGTCCCACCCCAGAGCTACACACTAGCCTAATTATGTTGGGTCAGGGGCATCAATAATTTTCTTCAGCTGGGTCATGAGAAAAAAAAGTTTGAAGACCGCTGGGCTAGAGTATGAGGCTGATATTCTATTCTGAGAATGGCTAACTGTACTGAGCACAGAAGCTCAAGTTCTTGCACAATACAGAATTAAAAAATTCTCTAGAATGAAAATTATTATTAAGTGATTCTCATGGATAAAGAAAAATATAGGCCCAATATATACTTCCCACTCCTTCATGACGTATTTATTTTGCAGATGAGACATAAAATGCCCTCTAAGTTTCTCCACCCACCTAAAAGAGAGATCCCGTAGTCTTCCAAAATATTAATTCACCCCAAAACTTGCTCTTCAGTCTCAGAAGGATCCCCCATTTCTGAAGGGGAAAAATGGAAGAGAAATGCTTCTTGAAGCACCCACTCTTAGGTGGTAGAAAGACTTCAGCAACACAATTCAAAGCTATGCCCAGTTTTGAGAAATTCAGTTTGTATGCCATACTTTGTAGTTTTTCTTTGCACTTATACTCTCTTCCCAAGCTTGGGTTTTCTAGAGGTACCTCAGTTTCTCTTCAGCAAGTGTGACCTTATCACATTAAGGAAGCAAGCCTTTATTTATCATACTTTAAGAGCTAACACTAGCTTGAAAAGCGTGCCTCTTGGCCAAAGCTTTTTAGAAACACACAGTAGTTGGCATCATGTGCCCAGAAGATATTTTTAGTTGCTGGCAAACACATATCAGTCACATTACACATTTCTCTTAAGATGTTACAATGAATACATTTAAACAGGTTTTAGACAGTAGGTCTTATTTTACATGCAAGCCAGACTATAATTTATAACATCACTTAATCAAAATGATTCAAGGATACTGAATGACTGATATGATATGTCTTTGAATATTTAAGTATATAAAGTTATGAAATGATAATTTCCTGCAATATGCTAGCTTTAAACATAGTTCAGGTGAAAGTAGCAGAAGTTGCTGTCTTATACAACTTAAGCTTTCAGAATAACTGAGCGCATTCAGGAATCTATCCGTATTTCACAGGGCGAACCACCCTTGTCCAGCACCCTCGGGACCTGAGTGATCCCAAACCATGGAGTTTGTCAGACAAGGCTCCCTACTTACCTGTAGACTCTGCTTCTGGTTGGGGCTGCACTCCCTGCTGCGTTCAGTCCCCCACTGCGCCAGCCCCAGAAAGAGGCTGGCCCGGCAGCTTCTAGCCCCAGCCAGTGCCGTGTCCCCCACAGCACTGGCCAGGCTACGTGCCCAGCTGCGGGCCTGCCGCCTTCAGCCCTTGGCCCTGCTGCCTCCAGCCCCAGCTGGCACTGTGCTCTCCACTGCCACCATTGACCGGGGCTGTTCCCCCCCCCAATCACACCAGCACCAATTGAGGCTGTTTCCTACTGTGCCAGCCCTGGCTGGGGCTGTGCTCCTTGCCCTCATCTCTGTCCAGGGCTGTGTTCCCCAGTGCACCAAGCCCACTGGGACTGCGCTTCCCAGGCTGTGCTTCAGAACATGGCCAGCAGGGCTCTCTGGTCCAGCAATATCCATGGTCTAGTTGCCAGATTAGAGAGTCCTGGATTTTAAAGGTTCAACCTGTACTTTGAAGGAGGAAAAACACTCCTCATAAATTAGTGCCTGTTACTATTTCAGATAATTTATTGTAGAGATTAAAAGAGAAAAACCTTAAAACCAGTCACCTGCTGAGTGACCTAAATAATTCTGTTTCTTCTGATGGAAAAAAACTACTGAGTATAAACACACAGAAGTAACTCCTGAAACTTTGTTTAACCTTCAGCCTCCTAACAGGAGTTAAGGCAACTAAGCAGAACTGACATCTTATCACACATATAAGGTAGCTGCAAGTCACTGAATTTTGATTAGCTTTCTTTTCATGTGCTTATAAAATTGCAGATTTCACACCACATTAAGGCTTTCTAGTTGGAACTCAGGATCACAAACATTTTTCAAGTCAGATATTGAAATGTTACCTCCTTGCCAGAAATAGAACTTATCATGATTGAATTACAGCTCCCTAAAAGGAGAAAAATGCCGCGCGCACACACACACACACACACACACACACCCCTCTTGCTTTTACAGAAAGAGATCACATGCTAGTGTGATAAATGGCCAGATACGCAAACATGCACGCATACACACACATATATGTATGGTCATATGTATATACCGTAGACACACATTTATATATAAAATAAACAATATTATTTCTTCCATGTGCCAGGATTCCCCCCCCCCCTTCTAAACCTCAAACCAGGCAGATTATCCCACTGGCAGACGAAGAGACCATGCTCTGCAGTTAATTCTACTTCCATGCCAGTCCAAATGGCCACCAAGGGAATGATGGGAAACTCTTTAAAGAGCATTGTCTCCACTTCATTGGCAAGGACCAAGATATCAGAAACTAATCCCCTATGGTGGTGCCTTCAAATTTAGGCTCTGTACTTTCAGTTTAACTTTAGTGCACACACACAGATCTATGTACTACTCCATTTCAGCTGCCATACCAATTAACCCTGTATTTATTACTGTAAGGGCATTCCTTCATTCAGACAATATTTTCTAACATCATGCCAAACACCAAACATTACCTCAGTCTCAAGTTTCAAGTGTATATTTACAGAAATATATATAAAAAAATCTGTATTTATCAAGAAAAAACAAGACAGGATTTTGGTATAATGAACAGATTTAAGCCAAACAAGTTTAGCAGAAAGTAATTTTTAATTATTAGTTTGCCTTCTTGCCCTACACATCCTCCCACCAAAACCCATCCTTGCACATTTAGCTAGTTGGGAAAATGGGGGTAATCTTGCAAGATTAAAACAAAAGAGCCACATTCAGAGCCACTCTTGATCAGTCCATTTTAGCTATTAGCATCTTATTCTGCATCCTTCCTCTCTCCACTTTAGAGGCCAAGGGACAGCAGCAGTGTCAGGCTCCTGACACCATATCAGTCACCCATCCCAAGAGCATGAAAAACAACAAGTTCAATGACCTTCACTGGAATACATTAACTGGGTCATCACGAACATAGCACCACTATTGAGAGACAACAGGAAGGTGACCTTTTGGCCTCATATCTCTGTAGGAATCCCTGGAATGTATCACATCTACCATTTCCATCACACTGAAGAATAAGCTATACAAGCATTAGTATCCAAGCCTGAGCTAAATTTCTACAGTCACAAAAGTCTTCAATGGCCACAGTTGCAATTGGTTGTAAACAGACTTCTCCAGTGTGAGATGAAGTAAAAAATTGAAGCAGAAATAGACTAAGAATTGTCTCTCCAACCATAACAGAAGTTTTGCCTGACAGATTGAATCAGTATTCTATGTTAAATAAAACAGCTCATTTCAGCACTGTTCTCCCTTGAAACAGAACCAGGCTACAGCGGTTCTGCTTAACTACAGCGGTTACCAAACCATGGAATTCATGCTGCCATGTATTCCCCAATCACATCTACAGTATCTTAGATGCTATTTGGCATTTGTTCAGAAAGTATGGATTTTATAATGGGGATCACTATTTAAATAAACTATTCAGTAACCTAAAAGCTTAGATCATGCACTTTAGCAGTTCACCTACTGCATAAGGTCAAAATATCTGTTAGATGACCAGACTTACTCTTCCTAGTAAACGTGCAATTGTGTATATTAAAAGTGGTATATGTGCAGATGAGTATTTTCTATTAAACTTCCATCCAAATATCCACTTAAAAGTCTAGTGGCTTAATCATTCTACTGTATTGTACATATATCCATTTATAAGGTAGTTGGACACATGCAGCTCAAACGTACGTCTGTAAAGTAAGATCCAAGTCTCTCCTCAAAGATAAGCTAAAAAAAGAAGAGAGTCTCATGATCTTAAAGAGACCAAATAATACATTTAATGGGTTGAAACAATTTCATGCAAATACAGTCCTTTATTCAATTTGATTTTTATCGTTTCAGATAAAATAATTTCATTTGTTCATTTCTTCACATCTGAGCTTTGCATCTTGATTTAAGTATTATTGAAGGCAAGGAAAACATTAAAAAGGACAAGTAACACTATATTATCAGTTTGCAGGTTTTATTTGCATCAGAAATCTAAACCCTAATATTTAACTAGGAATAATCAGCTTCCTTTCAATGTTGCTCCTGCTAAGTCAACTAACAGACTACAGCATTCCAAGAGAGGCTATCACACCTGAAATCTTCCTACCCCTTGACTTCAAGTAAGCATTCCCATATTTTTACCTAATGATCTATTTTAGCTGGAGTACAACAAAACTGGTTTTGAACAGGGGAAAAAATGGTATTCAAGTAAAGAGATTTTTTACCTCTGTTGGTTTGTAGCAATCTACAAGAGCTTCCTAGAAGTAAAACACGAAAGAATTGTCAGTTTCTGTATGAAGTCATGTCAGTTTTCAAAAGTGAGAGCAAATCTATAGTCTGACACTATCATATTTTCATAGTTTTTCCCCCATATATCAAGCTAGACCTGTTAGCTTTCATATAGTTTACAGTGGGCAGAAATGCAATCTTCACATTCAACAACAACTACAGGCTGAACCCTTCTAGTCCGGCATATTTCAGTTAGCCAGATGTCACTTAGCATGGGTGTTGCCAAGTTTCCCTGCAGTCCCAAAAAGTTTGTTTATAGCTGCCAGTGCTGGCTCTTAGTGTTCTATGCTGTTATTTAGCTCCGACTTATCCCTACATGTCTTTTAAGAGCTCAATAAGCAATGGAAGTGTTAGTAATTCTGCTAGACAATATTGACTTCCGGTGGTTCAGCAAATTCTCCGGTATGGCAGTGGTCAGGTACGAGGGATGCTGGACTAGAGAGGTTCAACCAGTACATCCAAAGTGTTGTGGCATGGATAAAGTATCTACAGCGGAAAGCAACTAATGCCACTGGAGGTAGAGGGGAGTAGTAGCAGCTTCCTTAAAAAAAAAAAATCTCAATTTATACATCGCCAAGGAGATGGGAGAGAGGAGTATAAGTTAATTTCATACAAACAGTCTGCCACACTCCAAGATTCAAATAACTTTTTATTGGGACACTAGGGCATTACTAAGTGGGTTCTTAACATGTGATTTGGGAGGAAAGGTTGCATATTAGATCTTATTTCATTTCCCCCTCATAACTATTACTCATTATGTGGAAAGGTAAGTCCTACATTGGCTCTAAATGTTTTTCCAGACACACAGTTATTCTTCCTCTCTCCACACTCTACCTTCCCAACTGTATTGCACTACATTTACCACCAACAAGATTACAAAATTAGGCAATTACATTAGGCTTCTTGTTCCAATTCACCTTACATAGTTTGTATTTTTCTGCTGTGGGGTTGACGATCATGATCTTCTCCTCACATTTTTAGATAAACTCCTGAATGGCTACCAATGACTTATGCTTTTACAACTCAAAAGCTAGCATCTATTTCAAAAGAAGTAGTTGTTATTTTTTCATGCTTAGGAAAAGATTAGTAATATAAATGAAGAGCAACAGGATCAGTACACATGCATTAATAGAAACAACTCCAAAACAGTCCTGCCCACAAGATGCACTAGTTTTCTGAGATTCTTCATACTGTATAATGCTAAAGACACTTGGAGAAAAGTAGGGCTCTCCTACTTCTCAGAAAAAGTATCCCTCACACTGAACTGTCCCTTGTATTACTACTATTGTTAGCCTCATTTAAGGAGTTGCCTCAAAATACTAGGGAATACTGTTTACATTCAGACAGTAGTCATGACAGGTTACATTCAGTTCCCTTATCGCAAACGCACAAAATACTCATTTTAGGGCTACCACCAGCAGGGCAGTCATTCAGCATTAAGATATAGTAAGCCTGATACATGTTACATCAGCCATGTTCAAGTTTACTTTAGGAAAAATATTTTACCTGTAATTTGATAGCTCTCTCCTCTTCATTAGCTGCATCAAGAAGGTCATCTATGTCAATTTCTACATCTGGCATCTCTTCTTCCTGCAAAGGGAAAAGTCAGGTTTAATGCATTTAGTTGTCCTTCAGCTCAAAAGCTGAGCTGGCAGTCTAGCAATAACACATGCATTATCATCTGCAGGGCCGGATCAGAGGAGAAAGAAATAACTTAGACACCAGCTTGGTTCTTCATCCTTAGGCCAAGGGAAGTCACAAACAGAATGCTTAGGCCTTGGTAATACACAAAGGAAAATTTCTCTTAAGCAACTCTCCAGAAATGTCAAAAGCGCTGTTAACTAATTTCAAGACTTGCTGCACACAGCCCTCCTCAGAGTGGAGCAGATGGAGTGTTAGGTGTGGGAAAAGTCAGACACACAAGGAAGAGAATTGCTTTGAAAATTATGTTCCAAATTGGCCCTTCAGCTGTTCCTATCCAGTTGCAGTTATGGAAAGTCATGCTCATTCATTGTTAGCACGAAGTGACAGCCCAGTCTCCAGCAGAAGAGTTCATAATTCCTGAGCCCACAATGAAGAAATTAGAAATTTCATTCCATCTTTCCCTGTAAGATGTTTATGTTTTACTGATATCTCAGTTTTTGCACCACTACTGAAGCAGATAGCTATTACATATGAGATAATGCCATTCAGAAATTGGATCTTTCTACCCACTCACTTTAGGAAACAGGAGCAGCAATATATACACATTTTGAAGCACCACATGCTTATTCAGTCTTTTCAATAGAAAGACTTTTGCTAAATTTAGATATCCCTGCTTACTGTATTTAAACTATGGTAAAAAAAACCACACACCTATTCGGCTTTTTGTCTGACCATATAAAAGGTCAGAGTTGTTCCTCTGTACTTAACAAATATCCCAACATTAGCAGTTCAAAGTTCATTTTATTTATACCAGACTAGCTAGCCAGATGACAGAATCCACTCGCAAACACAACACCAACTACAAAAGAGATTTAAGTTTCCCTTTAAACTAAGATTTCATTTGCTTATTTCTTGGGAGATGTGGATGAACTTTTCTTTTTTCTTTTTAAAAGGAAGCAGAAATGGCACAAACATTCTAACATAGAACTGCAGACTGTTAGATAATATATACCAGTCTGTGGAACACCAATCACTTTGCTCACCAGGAAATACACAGCTTTGAAATGGATACTTCAAGCAGCAGTGAGACATGGACATTCATTGAGTAAAATCCAAAATTTTCAACTAGAAGTTGCATTATTTTAGGGGGAAAAAGTAAACACAAAATCCTCTCATCAACATCTTTCCCAAAACTAGGTAAAAATTAAGTGTAAGTGTGAAAAAGAATAACTTTGAAAATGTTGGGAAGACTAAAAAGCCATCTTTCAATTGAAGTCAGAATTCTGAAGTTAGACAATTCATTAGTCGTTACTTAAGGTGCTTAAATAGCTTAGCCCTATGTTAACTTGCAGATCGTCCATGTAAAAATCCAAATATATGATGGAGATCCTGCTCCTCAAATATTTTACATATGCAGTGTATTTTGACCACTGTTAATTCCAAAACAAGGATTATTTGGGTATCAAGGTGAAATTCAGAATTTGTTCAATAGTCTTAACATTTGTGTATATACACACACTACAACCTTATTTCATTAACATGTAGATATTCATCTAAAATCACCACTACAGAGCCATGTCTATAATCTCCCATAGCGAATCATACTGAATTCATTACTGTTTCATCCCTTGAAGGGTTGTTGTGACAGTGTCTTAATCCCTTAAATCAGTTATCTTGCCTGTTTTTCTGCTGGATGGCAAGAATGTACATAGCTCCAGTGATGGGTAAGCCTGCAGAAGGACAGAATTCCTGCCTTGAAAGGCTTACAGTGCAGTCTTCTCTATGACATTCATCCATAGACTCATGTTCACTTTTCATGGTCTCCCCTAAGAAAGAGCTTTTGCACTCCAAATCAACCACTGTACTAATATTTTGTATTAAATCAAAATCAATCCAGACAGTTTCAAATACTAAGCTACATGGACAGTTTATACAGGAAACCCAACATTTTTTTTTCTAAAACTTGCAAATGTAACATGTTAATTCATGGCAAGTCCCTACATAAGGCGGCAGAAAGCTGTGCTTCCTCCTAGTTTCCACATCCACCCCCAAGGATGATATAGATCCGTCCCATAGCACAAAGTCAGAAACACTTGTCCCATAGACAAAAGTTATTGATGAAGAGGTGGAAGTTAGGGTCAATCTGGTGACAGTGTGGCAAGCAGCCAGAAATTGTTCTCAAGTCTCAGCAACTGTACGTGGAGCATGAAGGAAGGGAAAAGATGTGGGATCATGAAGCAAGGGAAGAGAGGCAGGGTAAGCTACTGTTCAGGTGGTGGTGGGGAAGCAGTCTGGTTGGCAGCCATGAGAGCTGGTAAGTTGCTCTATTAGAACCGGGGGGAGGAAGAGAGAGGGAGGGTGGTATGGCACAGGACAGTTAAGTTCTTCTTGTACAGCTGGAGGACAAGGGTGGGGCAGGGCAGTAAGTCAGTGTGTACTGCAACAAGGGAAGGGAGAGGCAGGCAGCAGCTTAGACGTTGCTCTTGCAGCTGGGGGAGGAAGGTCAGCAGCAGGAGCTGAACAGAGGCTGTATTTCTGTGAGCTGGCTAAGCGCTGCCTGGATCTGCGTCCTGTCCAACCAGAGCACCAATAGACACACAGATAATAATAAATCTTGCTAGGAGATGGTGTCGGACCTTTGTCTGATGTTCTTTGCCTGATGTACTTTGCCATGGAATCTCTGTAAGAAAATTTCCCCCACCACTGTGGTACAACACTCTCCCACACTATTCTTCATATTGTGCAGCAGCAAACAAGGCGGCATAGAGTTTGGCTCCAGAAGGTGTGGGGCGAGGCACTCACTCCCACCCCTATTAGGAGGGAGTTATTCAAACTGTGGAAGTTATTCTATGATTAGGGTCTAAGACACTTTCCTATTTTGATCCCAAATCCTAAACTCTCACTCTTCCAAATTTCCCAGTCCCACATAAATTGTATATGGCCTATCCCATCATCGAGTTGTGACATCTGGGTTGGGGGAGGAGATATTTCAATTACCTTCTCAGAGGAAAAATTACCTTTACTATATTTATTTTAATGGGGATGAGGGGACAAATGGGAGCTAAGGGTTTGACAAAGACGTTCAATCAAGTTGTTACCGAGATAGATTATTTCTGTTGCAGAAGTGCCAGCAGGCCCTCGACCACTTCATGTTTCAGAGCCCTGAAACAGCAAGCCTTTTTAGGAAGGATAAAAATACGAGTGTAGCAATATATGTTACAAACACCTTATACGTTATAAACATTCCTTATTTTATAGTTATTAACGCAAAGCCTACAGGATGTTGAATGCATATGGATCAATGTGCTAACAAAATCTAGGAGGGGGCAATAGTGGGGGTCTGTGACAGACTCCCAAATCAATCTAGATAACAGAGTAAGTCACTCCCAGGCACCTATCTGAAATACATAAAAAAAATGGTGGTGTTTTGAAGATTTCACTTTGGGAGATGTGTTGGAGGGTCTCATGCAGGCAGTATTATTAAGAGTTTCTAAAAATAAGGTAATTTTCTAGCAAGAGGTACTCTGCCCAATATGAGGCATCTCATTAAAACAGATAAAAATGAATTAATCACTAAATTGGAAGCTGGTGGTTGCCTACAGATCATGACCTGATTAACTTCAGTTTGGGGGAAACTTTCCAACCAGTAATATAAAGTGTTTTCAGAGGAATCATTTTCCAAAGATGAGGGAAATAAGAAGCAAAACTGTTTGGAAGGGAAAGTTTAAAACAGAAAAATGAATGGAAAAAAAAGGAAGTTTTCAGAAGAGTTGGTTATATAGTTTTAAAAAAGAGTTATAATTCCACAGGAAAAAATGGGAATTAGTTTGTCTAGAAGTCATCCAAGCTTAGTGGCAAACTAAAGATAATAATAACTAGAAGTTTAAAAAGTGACATTAACATAAGAATGAAGTAGATAGCAATTAATATAAATTAGAAGTTATCAAGTGTAGAAAATTGATAAGCAAGAATTTTCTAAAGAAATCATGTAACAATCTATGGCTGGTAGGTCTAAGGACAACAACAACAACATTTTAAGTACTTCAAAAACAAAATATTCTAGCAATGGTATAGGCATACAAGATGGTGTCAGCAAAATTGTTAATGATTCACAAAAATCAGAAGTATTCCCTGAACACTTCTATTCGGGAAGAAGTAAGGTGATGTGCTTACATCACATGAGGATAAATTATTTTCCAGTCCATTAGTAAATGGGGAGAACATTAAATATCTGTTAAGCACAAGCCTTTTGAAATCAGAAGACTCATACATGCTAACATCCCTATTCATAACATCCTCTTGCAAAGAATTTCACAGATTGATTGTGCATTTTGTGAAGAAATACTCCATAATGTAATTGAAATCATGTAACCATCAAATTTTAACTGTTACACAACTATTCGATAGTCCCTAGGGTGGGGCTGGCAGCCAGTGCACTACTAGTCCTACTCCTAGGGAGCACCCTGCCACCCTGTGCTGCTGCCACAGTATCAGAGGCAGTAGCATGGGGCAGCAGCAGGCCCTGTTGGACAGAAGCAGAACCGGCATCCAACGGAGCAGCCTCTGTCGCCCACAAACTTGGGCCCATCGCAGAGAGAGGCTGGGCCTCCATAGCCTCCCCTGCCTGCTGCCTCCGATAGAGGCAACAGCTAGGACTGCCAGATGGTTTCAGAAAAAAAATACAGAACATCATCATCACATGCCACGAAAAAGTTTGTTGCGGGAGGGGAGGGGGGCGAGAAGGACCCCAGGAGTTAAGCCAAAAACACTATTGCCCCTTTAAAAACCGTGTGGTGAAGCTTTTTGGCCCACCCGCCATCTTGCCTCCCTGCGCTGGGCCAGATAGCTCCCCTGCAGAACCCAGTGTGGGGAGCCAGCCGGGGACCCATCCGGGCGGATTTGGTGACCCCAGCAGGCTGGCATCAACCAGGCCTCTGGGCAGGGCT